CTCTTCCTCCTGTGAAATCCACCTCGTTTTTTTCTGGGCTCGATCTAATTCTTTCTTTTCAACTTGGATTTCYTYCTGGGTCTTCTTCTGTTTCCCTGTGTTGGGTTTCAGAACAGGCTCCAATCCAGGTTGTAGGGTGTAGGTTGTTGGAGGGGTCAACTTCACTCAGCTAGCTCAGCTAGCCTACTGTTTGAACGAGAGCGCGCTAGCTCGGCTGCGCGGTGTGCGCGCTGCTCGGGCAGGGACGGTGGTGTGCAAGAACAGCTCGTGCATGAGACAAACCTCACTTTTGATTGGCTGTTCGTCTCCGGGTCGGAGAGATTTTAACAGAGGGCAGAAGGACCACCAGGAGGAGACAGGAGTTTTTTTTCCCCCAGAGATTATCTGTCTAATATCAATCTGTCAGGACATAGTTACAGTTTTAACAAATATGTCAAAAATATATATTTTAAAAAGTTACAGACTGCAGCTTTAAGACAGAAAAGACTACTGGACTCAGTGGTGTGGAAGTGGTTCAGGTATCAAAGGTCTGATAAACTTCAGCTTTCAGTCCGCTGGTGCAGCAGGAACACATCAAATCTGTTCCRCCGTCTAATAAAGTTCTGAGTGAAAATGAAGCACCCTAAAAGCTTCAGACTCCTCCTAAAACATCACCATCTCCCTGTCAACAACTGTCAAGCAAGTGAAGCCGACGCTGMAAACACAGAAGAGTACGGCAGGCCGTTGTGACATAAAATCKACTTCACCACACTTTAGGCTTTCTTCACAATGCAGGCAAATCCGACCCAAATCAGACTTTTTTTTTCTGACAGTCTAAACATGAATAATTTGATTTTTTTCAGATCCGATCCAGGCCTTTTCAGTTTGTGGTACTGAATCTGACACATAYCTGATGTTTCTCAAAGMGACTGCAGTCTGAACGCTTGTGTTGCATTTCATCAGACTTCGGTGAATCGATCCACTAACCTCATGCCATGCAGTTAAAGCTCATAGTTCCACACGTCTTCAGCTACAGAACAAAAATCTAGCTGCTTCGCCTGAGAATCTGCAGAGCCATATGATRGTAATGTTCAATGTCAGAAACTTATGGTTTACTCGTCTTTACCATAAACAACAGGGTTTAAGGGCAAAATTGTAAACTGGACAGTTATAAYTTGAACTTTCTGCAAGTGAATGCGTTGTTGGATGCATTCATTTGTAAGAAATTTAGACTAATTTTCTTGATGAATGGGATGATGATGGGAGAAAGGGTGGGCTAACAGATGTGTATACTTCTGCCAACTTCAAGTGTATAAAATAGTTTTTAATGTTTCTGTTAMCTTCTGTTGTTACATTCAATAAAAAATGATTAAAACAAGAGAAAAAGGGTACTTCAGCTACAACATTYCATCACTGATTCATTACGGTTTAGTTAGAATGACGTTTTCACATTTCTATACATCCTTTTATCTTTYATTGCACGGCTTTGCAACTGGTAGTGTGTCGTTTCAAATATGTGCTCTTGAATCAACAAAAGCAGGTGTGTTTAATCGTTCTGTCTCAAATGAAAAGCTATCAAAAAATCTGTCTGAATTACACAACATCATCTCTGAGCTGGAAGATCACAGACAGAAATGTTGTGAAGATGAAACAGACAAATTTCTGTTCATACTGGAAAGAGCAAGAGTTCAGGCCTCGGTGAGCCAAGCTGAGTTTATACCCAGAGAAATATTATAATAGGTCTGACAGGAGGGTTAACTGCTCTGTGATCACAACCGTTTTACATCTTCAGAGGAAGAGGACTGGTACAGCTTTCAATAC